GATTAGGAGGCGAATTTGAAGTTACATACTTGTAAATTTTGAGCCCGGTCTCATGTATAACACCATGAAATCGTTGTAAAGAAAAAACATGTACTTATAGTGCAGTAAATGGGGGAAATAGATATACTATCAAGGGCCGGAAGGCTAAGAGTGTAGTGTTTCCTTTCAAATGACGCAATATTCCGTCATTTGTTTGCTTATTTAAGAGGACCACAATGTTACTAGGACACCAGTGATTGTGTTTATCCATAAAGTCAATTTATATTTTTATTGTATTTATTTATCAAGGCGTGGAAAGCGGCCGATTTGAAACGATATAGGGTCATGCTCACGAGAGAGTCAGATTTCGCGCGAATTCCTGTGCTACATTACTCAGGGCTATAAGTGATTGCCGGAGAGCAAAGTTTATTTCGTGATTTCGCGTCCAAACTAAAAACACACCAGCATGCCTCAATTCGACAGTACAACAACATTAACAGTTAGCGAGGGATACGACTTAACGAACCAACAACATTATTCAAAATGGAGATGTCGCTGTCGGTGTAACTTCTTGTACAGGAAATGTTGTTCTTTTCGTTTGTGGAAAGTTTTGCTGGTCCTCTTCATACTATTGGTCATCTTTGCTATAATAGTGCTTCTATTAATGAGGTATGGACCTGGAAGGAGGGAGTTAACAAGCGGTACAGACTCTCCAGGAGGCGTAGGTAAAGTAGTATACATAAATAGTAAATGCCGTATATTTCGTTTACGAGGTGCATCGGTACCGCGCACAAACAGCCAATAGAATGATGAATGAATAACAACGAAAAAGAGAGAAGTAGTTTACTTAAGGTAAACAGTTCAATTCACCAGAGACTATTTTTTACTCGCCGGGTTAAGAAAAGATATTAATTCAACTGACATACTAAGAGTTCCGTTTGGATTTGAATATAAGCAGATATTTTGAACTGCTGTTAAAGTGACATACCTGAAGGAATTATATAACAACATATACGGATTGTAGGCGAGAAAGGAAAAAAAATTATAGGAAACTTCCTTAGGATTATGAAACGAGTTTGCACAAAATAAATTTTGGGTAAGACGCCAATTTCTTGCTTTGCGTGTCGCAAAACAGAGCTTTCTGCGTTTTATAATATGTTCTGTGCTTGTTTCTAGCACCTTTCAACCTTTTATCAAAATCTTTAGTAGAGATCGCGAAGGAATTAGAGGAAATTGTACTGTTGTGTAACCGTCTATCCAAGTAAAACAAATAAATGGCAGTCAATAAAGGCAATTCGCACTTTTTAAGTTAAATGCACTCAGTTCTGGTGAGGATATAAAGATTTCGTGTTTGATTTTTATCTAAACCGAATGCGTCACAAAAAAACGTCTGAGGGAAATTGAACTATAAACTGACATCTCCCTAGTGCGATAAGAACCAAGCACAATTGTTTCCAAAACATTTTAACCTCACACGAAAGCAACATTTTATATCTGTAACAAAAAGCTGACTGAAAATAATCGTCCAACAGTGTACACCTGTTATTGGGAACATTTAAACTTTTTACGTGATTGTCTCAAGTCTGTGAGGTACAAGGTGGGATGTTTTCAAAAATAGCCTTTAAGGTTGGAAACAATGTATTCGTGTTTGATTTTATCGTGAAGGAATGCTTCAATGTTTAGCCACAACATGAAGTTTATTGACATCTGTGGCTAGTTTTCAACTATGTAAACACAGCTATTGAGAGCTTTTCAACCCTTTTGTATCAAAGAATCCTTGGCTTTTAAAGACTTTTAATGCGATTATTTCTTTCGTATTTCTATTGCACTTACCGTTTTCCGTTTTCTATTATTATAGCACGTTTTATTCCTGCAGTAAAGTTTAAAATCCGCAGCGGCTAAGGTAGAATGTCAGACCGCACGATCTGTGGTTGCGATCGCGTGACCTCTGGATTTTTGCGCTACATTGCAAAACTGGAAGAGTTCGTCCAAAGGTGGCAGAAATGATTATGAAACAGGAGTAGGCAGCTATGTGAATATGAACTGAACACCCAAAGGGTGCACTTTCTATGGCGGCAGCTTGTACTACACATATTTTGGCGATGAACTGAACAAACGAAATCAATGTAGTTCCTATAGATTAAAATTACAAGTACCGATGTATTTTTTGCGGCACTATAATACCATTACCATACTACTGCACGACGGCGCGAAGGTATGAATTTTACTTTCGAGGGATAAACACAATATTCTATGAACTAACGCCGCGAGAGAGTAACATATTGTATTTAACATGAGAAAATAAAAGTCATATCTTCATGCCACCATGTTATTTAATTTTTATTATATAAACAAACTGACTGTTTGCCCAAACAATAATCAAAAAGGCGGGAAATGACGTCATCAACATCCTCACTAGTGAAGATATGGAAAATATGAAACTTCGGTCTCGTACGAATTTTACGAGTGGTGTATTTTCTAGTAAAACACTCGTGTCCGATAATAAACTAGGATATCCAATAATGGCAGTGAATGCTGCGGTACATTTGGTGCCGGGAATTTGGTGTATCACACTCTTTTCTTTAATGAGAATATTGTTTTTCTGGCCGAGTCTGAATATTCTTATTTTCCTGCCGATTTTAGGCTGAAAATATTTTTGCTAATATTCTTAGATTATAGCGTATTACATTTCTGTTTTCGAATATAGTTGGTGTGTGGATGGTGTTAAAGTAGTTTTGGAGTCAGCCTGAAGGCATTAAAGCCAGATAGCACGCACATGACTTCTTGCAGAAATGTTATTACGGCAACAAATGCACGACCTGGTGCTATTCCTGTTGCTTTTTGGCTAGTTTGCCGTTTAGAAAAAGGACGAATTTTATACGGTTTGGTTAAAAACATATAATTGTATTGTATTTACAAATTTCCAACATAAACTTTCAATTTTTTTTCACAATCTCAGCCTTGGGTTTATTCTTAATTTGAATATTCTTGAAATTTTGCAGAATTCAGCCTCGATATCTTTTTAAAATGCATTCTTATAAAAAAAAAAAAGGAAAGAGTGTATGCTGACACTTGTATAATGAGGTCCCAAATAACACGGGGCCAACCTTGGCGGATTGCAGCTTGGTAGTTAATTGCTCTACAAATTGTCGTTTTGCAATGAAATAATCGTTCATCAGAAGTGGATTGGTAGGTAGTTACACTGGTGGCGAGTTACACTTCAGTTCAACTGGCTCTTGGACAAATATCATTTCCATCATGGTCTGGGATGTGATTATTGGGTCACCGCTAACTTATAAGACAAAAAAATTGCAAAAAAAAAATGTTACTTCGATTCCCCAGCACCAGTGAGATCACGAGATCAGAATAAGCGTAATACCGCCAAAATTCTCATAACGGTCGTAGGGTTTGACTTCAGCGCGTAAGGTAAATTAAAAAACAAAACAAAAAAATAACCAACACACTCTCCTAACACCAGCGAGATCAAAGTAAGCTGTTAAAATCTGTCACAACCTACGAGGCTCCAAATGCTACTGTTCGTTCGCAGAACATTCCGGTAGCTTAAGCAGTGCATTCTGTTAAGGGGTCGGAGAAGTTGGGAATCGAGATTATTCCTAGGTTTCTTCTGTAGTTCTCTTACATGTTCAGATTATGTTGCTGCTTGTGCCGGCTCTCCGCTCGCTCCGCAGCAGTTACCATTGCCTACGCTTTTTCTGCGGTACTATAATGCAAAGGATTCCGCCTAGAAATATTGAGAGATTTACCACAAAGGATTCTGGTCAAAACAGCAAATCGAGATTTTCAAGCCGATGCTATGTATATTTACATGTTTACAAACATTGATATGTTTTGTTCAAAAATGAAAATCTTCCTCCCTTGAGGACGTTCGTAATAATTGTTTCTGCGCATCCTTACTGCGCACGCAAATTCACACGCCACGTCATGCATAAGAGCGCGCGTGCTAAGTAATAAAATGAACAGTGACGGGGCAGATGGCCATTGCTATAGCTTTGCCTGGATTTAACGATCTTGGACGTTCGGTGACCCGTACGTTTCTTTCTAGAAACAGATTTTATTTACAATTATCTCCACATTGTCCAAAAATGAACAAAAACTCAATGTGGGAAGTTAAAAAAATTCAAGATTTCTGTCCACGGGACATCGAATCCTGCCATCTTGCGGCTGCAAGGCGCGTGAAATTATGGTCGCTAAATGCGAACTTGTTCTTTAAGGAACCTCACCAGTTGACTAAATTCACTTAATAGGTCCACTTYAACAAAATTTGGCAGAGAACAATTCACTTCAAAGATCTAATTGCAATATTTTTGGGTTTACAGACACTGTGGCCTTATTCGCTAGCGGCGCCCGATTTTTTTAGATTTAGGGTGTTCTTCCGGGTATGTTCTCTCCAAAACGAAGTTGGTGATCCCCCGTTATTCTACATTTCTGACATAGCTAACTCATCATCTTACAGTGGTAAAAGTCTCAGAAAAAAATCAATGTTGGAACATTTTCGCGCGAACGTCCTTAAGCAAACCACGACGACGACGGCTGCAAAGAGAACGTCACCAGGCAAAAGGTTAAAGAGCAGAACAATGACTATGCACGTGCGTTATAAATCTTTGAGCATTAACTTGCCGTCCTCTGCAAAACAACAACTTGAAATGACTAAGTTCTGCGTCCTCTACGGAACGTGGACGACGGCGGCTAATTTTTCGTATTTCCATTTGGAATTGAACGCCGTCGTTGCATATTTACCTTAAGCACTTTTTTAGAGCCATTGGCGTACTGAACAGATCTAGACAATCGTGAATTTCGCTTGTAAAATATAAATTCAATTTTTAATAGGCGTCGTCGTCGTCGTCGTTACTTAAGCTCCCTATTATCTGCAGGACGACTGGACACCATGTCCAAAGATAACTTGGCAATGATAATCTTAGGAATAAGACTTATGTTCAACTGACCGAATGTTCAACTGACCTATATGGGGATTAAGGAGGAGCTTCTGTTTATTCCACCAGCTATTGAGAACACGAGAAAACCAATTACTGAGGGTATAACAACAAGAAAAGAGGAAACCACTTCTCCTGGTAAAGAAACAACACCAGGCAAACCAACTGAGCAACAAACAACTCTTGGTACCACTAAACAGACAATTCAGGAGACAACTGGCCAACCCACGACAGGTCCTTCCACTCAACAACCTACAACCACTGCAGAACCTACAACTACGAAGCCACCGTCGACAACTTCAAAACCTACAACTACGAAGCCACCGTCGACAACTTCAAAACCTACAACTACGAAGCCACCGTCGACAACTTCAAAACCTACAACTACGAAGCAACCGTCGACAACTTCAAAACCTACAACTACGAAGCCACCGTCGACAACTTCAAAACCTACAACTACGAAGCAACCCTCAACAACTGCAAAACCTACAACTACGAAGCAACCCTCAACAAC